TCACCTTGTATCATGGAGAGTCTCTGGAAAAGAATAGTCAGTAATTGAGCAGAAAAGATCTGCGATCCAAAGGTCTACTCTCTGCCTTGTTAGGAAAGTTCTCCCATTTCAACTAGGAATGAGATGTCAGACAAACAGCTTCCAGTCAATACAATCTGAAAATTAGTATTATGTTGACTTAAGCATTTATGCCCAATATAGCGATTTGTTGAGCTACTGGTTCATGTTCTTAGCAGAAACTACTAAAGACTCAAGTGGTACTGACCCAGTCTTATAAAGGGCTAACCATCAGCCATTTAGCTGAAGCTTTACACTACCAGTTGTCTGGAATGGAAGGTAGATCAGTTGGCCGACAGAGGAGAGAGGGCAATGGATGTGGTACCAAATGAAGCAAGGAATAAGTCAGGCCTCTACCCTGACTCTCCTCCCTGCCTGAATCTTCCTCTGCTCCTCTGTCATTCAGTGACTAGATGAACCAGTTATTCTGTTAGGAGGTGCATCTTAAATATTAGGAAGAACCCTTTACTAGACAGTCTCTTTGAAATTAAGTTATGAATAAAGTCTTTTATGACTATTTTAATAAGTTCTAATTTTCCTTGCAGCTTTATTGATATAACATTGTATAAGTTTAAGATGTACAGCATAATGACTTGATGCATGTATGAACTACAAAATGATTCCCACAGTAAGATTAATTATCAGGTCCATCATCCTCATATAGTTACAATTTCTTATGGTGCAAATCAGATCTAATTTTTATATTTTTCCCACAGAATATACAGGAGAAATAGATGGGAAAGAAATATGAGATCACAGTCCACAACGCAAGAGGCACTGAGATAAGCTAATTCTAAACCCTACAGAGTAAGGGCAGGGCCTCTGGGATGTCAAATTTTTAACATTTGCAAAATGCCACCCTTTTTCTCTGAAACACAAATTCTTTTTTCTTGCCTTTTCCCTATATTCTCATTACCACTGCAAGGTATGGCCCAAGAGGAGAAAATCCATCCCAGCTTTCCCAACAATATAAATTTATCAAAGAAGGTAGGAGTGAATGAGAATAACACTCAATGATATTCTTAGCATTGTAATTTTATATTATATTCATCACAGTCTCTCCCTCTTCTACTCCACCACTGTGTCCTGCCCACCTCTTTTTTAATCAGTGGTTCCCCTGCCTCCCACAATTATTCATACAGCCCTGCTGAATAATTTTCTTCCCCCTGCCTGGCATAACAACAAAGCCGAGAAGCAGGAAGGAACGCCACTTAAAGGCAGGTCAGACAATGATGTAATTAACAGATGAAGGAGAAGTGTTATTTCAGAAAGTTCCATAGAGCAAAAGACAGACTGGTTTCCTGGATCATGACACTACCAGGAAACTAACTAGTCATTAAAGCACAAATATCTAAATTGAAAACTTTCTCCAAATGAATAAAAGCAAGAGTAAATATCACCCCATCAGGTGAAAGATGTTTCACATAGAAATTTTAATTAGAAACAAGTTTTAAGCCGGTTTGGAAGAGGAATTTCCTCTATCCCACTCTAAGCAAGATGTAGGATGTGTGTTTCTGTAGGTGTTTGCCAAATCTGTTTCTTAAGGAATCCACAATACAGGAAAGGAAGTCTACCCACAAAGCACCCAACTCCACACGTGATAAGTGCTAGGGACATAAAAGCGATTAAACCCAGTCTCCACTTATAATAAGCACACTAGCTGAGAAGTTGCTAACATAGTTTCATATAATCATACACATAAACCCACACATTCTGTGGGTTTATAGCTGCAGTCACAAGTCCACCAAAGAGAGAAAAGAGATGTCTTGTTTATCTCCCAAGAAAAACAAAGAACCATTTGATTCAAGAGCTGAATTTAAACTCATGACTGTAAAAGATTAGAAACCAATGATAGATACATGGCTTTCAAAAATATCCTTTAATAGAAACTACAAGCCATGTGATCAGCACCATTTTCAGCTGTGCACTAGTCTACTGCTCTTAGACTGCTGTGTTTTCAGTTCAAGAAAGGGATCTTATCACAAATAAGAAGTTCCTCATTTCGTTACAAAAATACTGCTAGTCACTTTGACTTTCTTTAAGGTTTAAGTTTTTAAAACTACAGTGGTATAAATGCTCATGGACCGTTCAGAAGTACTCATTGACCAAATAAACAGCAAATGCCAAAATTAATTTTAAAAAGTTAAAATATGGATGTAAGACCTCCCACATACCTAAAAGTAAAAAAAAAAATAGGTTAAAATAAATAAATTAAGTGCTTTGATGTCTCTTAAGTTACTTTTCAGGTGACATGAGGGAAATATTACAAAATTAAAAAAAAAAAAAAACACCGTCTAGATGACAAACATGCAGTTTTTGGTTTTTTTTTTTTTCAGGTAAACCAACATGAATTAAGAATCACCACTCTAGTCCAAAGTTACTTCCAAGTTTAGGGAAATTCTTTCAGGACAGAGGAACATCTCATATATCTTTAGCTCCCCAGCATTCAGCAGAGTGCCTGGCAGATAGTAATCACTTAATAATACAGGGGGTCATTTTTCTGAATATGCATGAAGGAGAGAAAATAATAAAAGGCTAGTTCTGTACTCCTTTCTATTAATTTAAAAGCTGAAAATCTTGACAATTTGCCACCTTTGAGAAGTTTCTATAAATTCAGGCAGGCATTCTTGAAAAGTCTCCCTTCTCAGGAGCAGTGGCTTCCAATACCTGTTCCCCAAAACTCGAAGGAGACAGCATGACTTGTGTGACAGCTGGGCCCATTTTCTGTATCTAGTATCATCAGTTGCACAAAGTAGGTTTAGTCCCAAGACTCTTTGGACTTTGTTCCTCTACCAACATTTGGGTTCAGCATGATTCCTGACCTCTACCTCAAACTAGAGAGTACGAATACTAAAAAGCTCACTCAACAAGAAAGTCATTTCCTAAGTGAAGGCCAGGGGAAGAACAGAAGCCAGGACTAGCAGAAACTGATTCTGATAGTAGGTCTTGATAATAGGTTTCTAAACACCCAAAATTCTGAAACTGCTTCTCAAAAGGGACATTTAAAACACACTTTCTTAAAGGTATTCAAGGTGATACAGAGAAAGTTTGCAGGCAGTTAAGTGGTCTCAATAAACAGATAAAATAAGCCCTCTTCTTTCTGCGAGGGCATATTTTTCTTTCTCCTACAGAGTTTGGCTCTGAAAACCTGGTTGATAACCTGGGAGACCCAATAACTGGCTCTTTTGTAAAAAACACATCTGCAACTGACCTAGTTTGGAAGCCTGGATGCCTTTAAATTGCCAATGAACTAAAACCATTCATGAGAATGGGGCTTTTGAATGCTGAGAATGTTCTTCAGGGCTCAGCACAAAGATATTTGGCATAGGTGACTGTAAATATTTGTAAAACGCTGGGTAAATGGACAGTGTTTGACCACACTCAAACCTTACTTCCAGCACAGTAGAGTAGGAGCAAGTTATCTAGGGTGATTGGTTTAGGGGTTTTTGGTTGAGTTTTTTCTGTTTGTTTTAAATAAAAAGCCAAGCAAGCTCATTCAGCTACTCCACATCTTTTGACATTCTCTATGTATGTTTACCTTGTGTTTGTTTACTCATGAAGACAGTTTCAATTAGTCAGAAGCTACTTTTTGACACAGGATTTTTTTGTCTTTCCTATTTTTCTAAGTTATGCCCTCCTGGAAGAACAGCATATTAGTCACAAGTGTGCAAAGGTGAGGCAGGAACTGTGGGAAAATGTAGCCTTGGATTTCATAATATGATTATCTCCAAGTGAATCTTTTATGCATCTGCAATAGATATCTTTCTTTTCCTCCCTCTCTCCCTTCATCAAAGTGGTTTCAGAAATATTTAAGGGATCGCTAGCCAGGCCAAGGACTAGGGATAGGGAAAGAGGACAGTCAGAAGGAACAGAGAGAGGAATTAGAGGTGAATAGTGGGATTGCGAGGTGCATCTCAGAGAAAGTGTAGCATTTTAATTAGCCAGCCACTCAGTGTAGACCAGCTGGGTTCCTTTCGCCTGTTACCCACACCCTAAAAACTGAGTCATCTCAAAGTTCATTTCTTTTGCTTCTGGACCTAGAAACCCCCAGTGTGCTGCTTCAAAAATGTTAGAATGCTTAAAATGTTCTTTAAGTCCATACCATGCAACGTTCCAATAAATACCCAGAAGTGCCTGTCAAGTTAGAAGAATTCTGGAAGTCCTATTAGGAGCTTCAGCCAATATTTTGATAAGATATGTGCAGCAGAAACAACTAAGAAAGTGACAGACTGAAGTGGAAGTAAAAAGACGGAGAATATTTTCCCAGAAAAGGGTATCCATTGCTGAGAAATGTGAATATGAGACGTTTACGCAGCAGGAGTAGACTTATAGCCCAACCCCTGAAATTAATAAGAAAAGCAAAAGCGCCCTGAAAGGGGTAGGAAGCTGAAGGCACCATTGCTCTGCTGAAACAGGAATCAGTTTCATTTTAATTTAAACTTCCGAACAGCAGAAGAGCATCAGAGGTTCTCTGTTTTATCAACCACCCCCGGACAAAATAATCACTATACTATGTGGCCAAGATACCATCAGATACCATAGTTACAACATCTTATTCATCTCTGTGCCTATCAACACTCTGCTGTGGATTCCACCTAACAAAAGGTAAACATCTGAGATGATACCAACTTTTGGTCTCCCCTTAAGAAAAAGGGAGATTTGCTCTAATCTTGAATTGTACCATCCTGTCTGCAGCGACGATCTCATTAGGAATTAAGCCGGTTTCTTTTGACCTTTACCAAGACACCTATTTTTTAAAAGCTAACAGGTGTCTAAGGCATTTCAGGATGAATTCAATTCTGCATGGTTGGAAGCCCTGGAAGCAGCAAACAAAACTAGAACTACGGTATCACAATGAGCCTCTTGTTCTTTTATCTCTCTTAACTCGACACCTTTCCTGCCTTGCAATGCCTGCAGCCTTTTCACAAGCTGGAGAAACCTACCTGGCAGGAGAGTAGATGTTCCCGTCCGCAGCCGCGGGCTTCCGAGAAGCCACCCTCGCGCACCTCCAGCCGGGCAGCTCACACACCCCGGAGGCGGAGCTGTTTCATGCTCTCTTCCTCCGAGCTTGGGGGCTGACAGCTCCACACTTTGCAGGATTGCAACAGGACTGGGCCTCCCAGACCTCTCGGGTCAGAGCAGCAGGAGTGCCTGATCGCCTCCTGGCCTTGGGGAGCGGCTGCGGCGCCCGGGGAGCTTTGCAGGTCGTGGGGCGCAGCGCCCCAGCAGCCGCGCAGCGAGCAGCGCGTCCATTTATACAGGAAGCTCAGGCGCGGCACTTCCTACTTCCCATCTGGGGCGCACTTTAGCTGCAGGTGGTGGGCTTAACCCTGTCCGAACCCCGCGGCCAGAGAACAGGAGCCATGCAGCGCCCCGGCGATCAGGACCTGTCTGTCACCCTCGTGGGGCAGCTGCAGCAGAAATCCCCAGCTGGGTGTGCGCAGCAGCCCCTAGTGTCCTTCCTCCTGCCCCAAAGGGGACATTTCACCTCCTGGCTTGGGGAGCTTGCTGTTACTCTGCAGTCCTACCTCCTCCCCAGCCCTTTAAATCTCTTCCTCCCACGTCTAACAGCCCAGACCTGCCTCCCCACCTGGCCAGAAAACCATTTTTATAGGAACACTTCCCATGCACGTCTCATCCCAAACACCTTGTACCTGATTTGTCCTTTTGCGCTGAATGATAAAATTAGAACGCACGCCCATCAGATCAGGCCTGGCTGAGTTTACCTCATAAAATGCAGGCACACCTTTATGGAACAATGAGGCCTTTGATGTGCATTGTCAAATTATCTGGGGAATGCTTAGTAACCTAACAGGTTGTAATCTCAGTTACAGAAACTGTAACTACACGATCCTGAAGCTGGGGAGGCTGAGGGAGTGGGAAATTGGGGAGAGAGTCCAGTACCCACTTTCCTCACTCTGAGACCTTGGACACTGGATTTTGTGTGAGGTTTATAAGTGATTGTTTATCTGCTCACTCCCCACATACACCTCAGAGATCACATTCACTCTTGCAAATCTTTTGAATGCAGCAATTTAGAAATGTCTGCTCTGTGCTCACCAGGCAACCTCACCCCACTTTTGCAACCAGAGTCAGAAATGTGTTTCCTAAAAGGAAGGGACCGCAAGCCCTTTGTTGAAGGAATCAAGGTGCCAGTGAAGTGGCAGCAGCAGGCGCTGATCCAAAGGACATAAGCTAACTAACTGCCTCGCAGCCCTTCCTGGCGAAGAAAACCTCTAAGTCTAAGCCAAGTGCTGAAAAACACAGGGGATCCTGGTGGATGAAGGTAGAACAGGCAGGGGATCAGCCCGTTGATGGGGTAGGAAGGGAAGGAAGACAAGGGAGATAAGGCAGTAAGAGGGATCCCAAAGTAATAAAATCAGCACCTATTTGAGCTTGAAAAGATCTTCTAACTAGTTTAATACAAACGCCTACTTTGAACGATGAGAAAACTGAAGTCCAGGGAGATTTAAGGATTGGCTTGAATCAGGGAGAGGCGAAACTAGATCCTAAATCTGTCAGATGACCACAGTACATTTCAATTTAAACCACTCGGCGAATGCCTAACTTCCAATTCAGCTAGCAGCTTAAGGTCTGATTTAATCAGCCTCAAGATGTTCTTTGGAATCTGACCCTTATTGATAGAAATGAGTCCGGAGAGGTGAACACAGCACCTTCTTAGAGGTTACTTTATTCATTAGTGTTAATGCAAAAAAGGCACCTTAATGAGGGTGCATGGGTGCCTTGGGGAAGGAAATTCTATGGGGACTCCTTCTGAGGGGGCAGGGGAAAGCAAATATTGTCTGAAAAATGTGAAAATTGATAAATGTTGAAATAAAAAAAAATTAAAATTATAAAAAAAGGCACCTTAAGCCAAAGTTCAGCACACAAGTTCACTTTTAAAATTATTATGCAATTAAGTTATCTTTTGTCTACAGGAGAGGGGAAGAAGCTGCTGCAGAGATGAAGAAAAACATAGGTCAAGCAATTATCATGCTGCCTATTGTTGCAAAGGATGGGGAGGGGAAATACTGTTAGTGAAATAACAGCATTTTCAACCATGCAGGTTTATACAAATTGCATTGAACTTTTTGTAGGACTAAGTCACCATGCAGAACACTACAGGTGTTGGGAGAAAATTCATTCAGATATGCTAAACAGGTCTACAGTGTGCATTCGTTCATTCCCTCCATCATATATTGATTTCCTCCTCCCGGAGAAGCTAGTAGGTGCTAAGAAGACAAAGATAAGTGGATGTGGTCGCTGTCATTGAAGAGCTCTCAGACCAGGAAAAAATCAGAGCAGCAAATCAATTACCAGGGTACAATGACAAGTGATATGATGGACTTAACACGATGTGCTATGGAGCAGAGAGGGCTAAACAAAAGGGGTCATGAAAGTATCTCACAAGGGTTCCCTGAGAAGCTGACTTAAAGCTGAGTCTTAAAATGCAGGCTGGGGAGGGAAAAAGGGGAAGTGGTGAGAGACAAAAGCCAGTGCAAAGGTTTAAAGATGTGAGGCACTGGATGATGCGATTCATCATTCAGAGCAAAAGAATTCAAAATACAGAATGAGGACCCACACTGATAATGGGCATGGAAAGAGAAAAGAACAGAGAATTCAGAAAGAGAAATGATGAGGTCTGATATCTGATTGGATGTGAGGGGAGAGACTTAGTGAAGGGGGTGGGGAGGGAGAGAAGAAAGAGATAAGAGAAGCCCAGGCTGCTGGCGGTGCCATTGACTATGGGACTATAGGAGAAGCAGTGGTGAGGAAAGTGATAGTCACTCTATTTTTTTTAAAGATTTTTTTTAAATTTTATTTATACAAGTGCTGGGGTACAGGCCAGATGCAGGGAAGGGTGAGAGGATTCACCAGAGACAGAGTAGGGAACAGAACAGGCAGACTGAAGAAACACATTACTGAGGGGAGCAGCGGGTGAGACAGTAGAGTTCTGCTGCTCCATGTGGGATTCTCACCAGCCAGGCAGCTGGGATCAAAGACACGCTGCAGAGGCTGCAAACAGCTTTACAGTGCAGCGCTCAAATGCCTGCGCCACCAGGGAGGCCCCTAGTCACTCTAATTAAAGCCTGCCAAATCTGAGGTACCTCTAGAACATACTAGAAGACTAGCCTACTAGACTGTCAACAATGAGAGATCTGGGGTGGAGAGTTTGTTAAGAGTTACCATCATTTAGGTGGTGGCCACAAATGAGGTCACCAAGAACTGAGATCACCCACAAAAGGTAACATGTTGTAGAGGGAAGCAAAGGCTTTAGACCCAACCAACTCTCTCACCCCCTCATTATCGTGTAATTGGAACAAGTTTTAACATACTCAAAACTCAGTTTTCTCACCTATAAAAGAGGAATGATGGTATTCATTTCATGAGTGGTTGTGAGGGTAAATGAAAAGTTTGTAAAGTAGCATAATGCCTAATGGTTCATACAAGTCTTGGGGATGAAGCAATGAATGTCACTTGCCAGTATTGTGCAGTGCACAACCTACTCAACTGAACAGTATGTGCCTGATCTCACACACTGTAAGAACCAAGTCAATGTGATTCATCTAAGAAGGAAGGGAAAATGGAAAAGAAAAGGAATACCAATATTTATTTAAGGGTACATAAAAGAAGAACCCTGTAAAAAATAATGTAATCTTTGATACTCAGACTGAGCAGGGAAACCCAGCCACTATAACGTACACAACACTTTTTATCTTTCTGAGCAATAATAGACATAATATTACAAACCGTTCACCAGATTACAGGCAGACTGACCTTCATATACTAGAGAATCATTTCCTAATCTGAATTACAGACCTTCCTAAAGTAAAGACAAATAAATCTTGACATTAATGGTAAAAGTAATCCAAGCTGCAGAAATTGCATTAACTTTTAATATACCTAAAGTCATAGAAAAGCCAAACTAAAATAAATTCAAAGCACAGTTCTTCCTTTATCTGAGGCCAAAATATACACATATAATAGTAGATAAACAAATGTGTAAAATATTTATATAATAATATATGCACCTGGTATATACTATTATATATACATAAAATAATCTATGTATATTATAAAATGCTTTGTAAAGAATTAACAAGTAGAATTTCTTCTTTGGAAATTATTCTTTAATTAACATAAAGAAAAATCAAGGGCCTCCCCGGTGGCGCAGCGGTTGAGCGCTGGGTTGGGAAGCTGCCGGCAGTCTCTGCAGCGCCGGTTCAATCCCCGGCTGCTCCCCGGCCTCGGGAGGAGGGTCCCACATGGCGCGCAGACCTCTCCTGCCGCCCGCTGCTCCCCTCAGCAGTGTACTTCAGTCCTTCTGCCTGCTCTGCTCCCCGCTCTGGCTCTGGTGAATTCTCTCTCCCTCCCGCGCTTCTAACTGTACCCAGTGCTTGTATGTATCAATCAATCAATAAATAAATAAATCTAAAAAAAAAAAAAAAAAAAAAAAAAAAAAATCAAAATTCATTCTTATGCTATTGAAATTACCCTTCCAATTTAGTGTGTTAGTAACTCATACCTTCCACTTGACATCTTAATTACAAACTGTGTTAAAAAATAAAATTTTTTAATGATTTGTTCTGTTTTAAGAAAACAAAGAACACAAGTATTGGGAAATCAGCTTCTGCAATAGGTGCAATTTTCTCTCCATGGGAGAAGATTTAAGGCAAAGGTCATGTGTTCTAGTAATCTCTTATTTCCAAACAGCCACCATTGCACTTGTATTTTTCTGCTGTATCTAGTGGTGCTCATCTTATGCATTCACCCAACATTGACTAAGGTATTGAGTACAGAACTAAGAGTAAGACACAACACCAATTAAGACGGAAAACAATTTTAAAATGTACATTTCTGTATGTGGGTGGTGCAGCAGTCAAACTACATGGAAGTCAAAACAGGACCCAGAAATGATCACCCAGTTACCATTGACTTGACAAAAAAAAAAAAAAAAAAAAAAAAAGTGCTCCAAAAGTTTGAGACTTGCCATTGGTTCTGCTTCATAAAAGATCATCTCAATCGCTCATAAAAGTGAAAAACAGCTGGGCTCCAACAAGAAAAACCTGATCAGACCCTTCTCAAATTGGTACCGCTCTATGTCACACAAGAACCCATCAGGACCTGAGGGGAGAGCAAGACTCCAAATGCTTCACTTCTTGGGTCACCTGAAGAAGAAAGGAAGTGGGTCCCCTGGATTAAAGGGATAATTGCACAGTGAAGGATCCAG